ATTGCCTAAAAACCATTAATGAAAGTATAATATTCACACTTTTAAATAGGTATAGGCTATGAAAGTTCACTTGAGACTTCTTCCTTTGAGCTCCTTTAATGATAATCAGGGGGAAGACAGGGAGAAAGGCACCTTAAGGTAGGGGGCATTTGCAATTTCATAAGATAGTAGTTAGAACATTCTGTTCTATTGCTACTGAATGTAATAAGAATAGCAGGTCTTGGGAAAACATGAACTTTAACAACCTAACAAACTCCTGCCTTATGAGATTTTGTAATGGGTACCACAGAGAATCAGACAGGATCATGCAAATGTCCTGTTGGAGGTAAAAAGACTTGCAGACCACTTGTTGCCCATTCTCATATCTGTTTCTATATTCCCCAGAGTGTTACTGACTCTCTGTGTATTATACTAAAACTCTTTTCTGAGCAAAGATATTAGAATTACAACTAATATTTGGTGGCAGGGAGTGGGGAGAGGCTAGTCCTGTGAATTCATCAATGTAGAGAACTCTCTTGAAGAAACTTCTATTGATGCAGATCCCCTACTGTCCTGTAATTGATAGTCTTAGAGAATTGCTGGTAAAATGAAAGGTTAAGTGATTTGTCCAGAATCAAAGAACTGATATATGTCAAAAGTGGGACTTGAATCTGGGTCACCTTGCCTCCCAGACTGCCCCTCCATCCACTAAGTCATTGCCTCCCTTTTCCAGATTATGCTGTTGTTGTCGAGTTATTTCAGTCATGTCTGACTCTTTATGATGTTGTCTGTGGTTTTCTTGACAAAGGTGGCAGAGAAGTTTGCAATTTCCTTCTCCTTCTCTAAATTTTGCCCCAGATATAAATAGTATTTCTAAGCTGGGTTGAGTAAGGTGTAAATAAGGGATGAGAATGGAGTGGGGCAGGATTGGATTTTCATGATATCATGAGAGAATGATTGGCCAGAGCAAGGTCACATAGAACACAACCAGTTCAGGAGATCCCTGGGACGTTTCCACACTTGAAAGGCTAGGCACCATTATAGTTCACCTAACTCCTCTGGCATTTACTAGATCTTCCCCTTGATCACATTGGAAAGCAGCAAAAGTGAAACCTTTTTTTGCTGTTGTTGTTCATTTCTAAGGATTACAGTTGTCTGATTCATTAGTGTTTGTTTTTTTATTTTAATAACTAAACTAAACCACCTCTAAAGGAAAAATATTTTTTAAAAAATCCTTAATGCTGGTAGTATGGAAGTTTTTGAATGAAGACTAATCATAATCTATAAGCAACCTCATTGTATTCTTTGTGTTGGTATCACCAAATTGTGGTAAGACTTCTTGAGTTCTTTTCATCAAATCCATAAATGCACCATAACAAATAGGGACATGGATTATTACAGGCATCACTTCTTTTTTTGTTCAGCATTTTATTTTTCCCAAATTACGTATAAAAACAATTTTTAGCATTCATTTTTTAAACTTTCAGTTCCAAATTCTCTCCCTTCCTCTCTTCCCACTCCCCCTCGTCGAGAAAACAAGCAATTCAATGTAGGTTATACATGTGTAGTCACGCAAAATATGTTTCCATATTAGTCATGTTGTGAAAGAAAACAGACAAAAAACTCAAGAAAAATAAAGTAAAAACAAGTATGTTTCAATCTGTATTCAGACACCATCAATTCTTTCTCTGGGGATGGAAAGCATTTTTCATCCTAAGTCCTTCAGAGTTGTCTTGGGTCATTGTATTGCTGAGAATAGCTGTCATTCGGAGCTGATCATGTTACACTATTGCTGTTGTTCAGTCATGTCGCAGTCATGTCTGACTCTTTGTGACCCATTTGGGGTTGTCTTGGCAAACATACTGGAACGGTTTGCCATTTCCTTCTCCAACTCATTTTTACAGATGAGGAAACTGAGACAAATAGGATTAAGTGATTTGCTGTTACTTTGTACACAGTACATGTCACTTTGCATCAGCTTTTGTAAGTCTTTCAGATTTTTCTGCTCTTCATTTCTTATAGCACAATAATATTCCATCACAATCACATACCACAATTTGTTCAGCCATTCCCCCAACTAATGGGCATCCCCTCAATTTCCATTTCTTTGCCACCAGAAAAGAGATGCTATAAATATTTTTGAACAGATAGGTCTGTTTCCTTTCTGTCTTTTTTTTTTTTAATCTCTTTTGGGATACAGACCTAGTAGTAGTATTGCTAGGCCAAAGAAAAGGTGTGCACGGTTTTATAACCCTTTGGGCATAGTTCCAAATTACTCTACAGAATGGTTAAATCAGGTCACAACTCCACCAACAATGCATTAATATCCCATTTTTCCCATATCGCCTCCAACATTTGTTATTTTCCTTTTCTGTCTTAATAGCCAATCTAATAGATATGAGGTAATACCTCAGAGTTGTTTTAATTTGCATTTCTCCAATCAATTGTGATTTAGAGCATTTTTGTATGGCTATGGATAGCTTTGATTATTTCATCTGAAAACTGTTCGTACCTTTTGACATTTATCAGTTGGGGAATAGCTGTTATTTTTATAAATTTGACTCAGTTCTCTATATGTTTGAGAAATGAGGCCTTTATTGGAGAAACCCTTCAAATTTTTTTCACAATTATTGCTAACTGTATTTCCCTCCATTCTATTTCTCCCTCTGTTTATTTTATTATCTCTCTCCTTTCACCCATTCCCTGTCAAGTGTTTTGCTTCTGACTACCACGTCACCCAATCTGCCCTCCCTTCTATCACCATGCTCCATCCCCTTTTTCCCCTCCTAATTTCCTGCAGGATAAGATATATTTCTATACCCAATTGATTGTGTATGTTATTCCCTCTTTAAGCCAGTTCTGATGAGAATAAAGTTAACTCACTCCCCCTCACCTTCCTCCTCTTCCCCTCCACTGTAAAAGCTTTTTCTTGCCTCTTTTATGTGAGATAGTTTACCCCATTCTACTTTTCCCTTTCTCTTTCTCCCAGTACATTCCTCTCTCACCTCTTAATTTTATTTTTTTAGATATCATCCCTTCATATTCAACTTATACCTGTGCCCTCTGTCTATATATATTCCTTCCAACTGACCTAATAATGAGAAAGTTCTTATGAGGTACAAGTATCATCTTCTCATGTAGGAATGTACAGTTTCACCTTATGGTTTCCCTTTCCTGTTTCCCTTGTTATGCTTCTCTTGGGTCTTGTATTTGAAAGTCAAATTTTCTATTCAGCTCTGTTCTTTTCATCAGGAATGCTTGAAAGTCCTCTATTTCACTGAATATCCGTTTTTTCCTCTGAAAGATTATACTCAGTTCTGCTGGGTAGGTGATTCTCAGTTGTAATCCTAGCTCATTTGCCCACAGGTCTCACTTCTACTCCGTATCTAACAGAGTTGAGACATACATTTTTCTCAGCTGACTGATGGTAGTAACAGTAGGAAATACAGTTCATGACAGTGGGATACTAAACAGCTTTTTATATTTCTATTAGTAAATAATAACAGCTAGCATTTGTATGGTGCTTCAAGGTTTGCAAAGCCTTATATGTTATATATGTTAACATATATGTATATATGTTGACTCATTTGTTTCTCACAACAACCCTGTGAGGTAAATGCTATTATTATCTTCATTTTACAGATGAGGAAACTGAGGCACAGAAAGTTTAAGTGACTTGCCCAAGGTCACACAGCAAAATTGTCTGAAACAGGATTCAAATTCAGATCTTCCTGACTCAAAGTGCAGCTCTCTATGCCCTAGGCCACCTAGCTGCACCAATGCTTAAATGCTTAGTAATGATGATTGTAAGAATGGAGACTAAAGGGAAAGCTAGGTAGTGTAGTGGATAGAGCACCACCCTTGGAATCAGGAGGACCACACTTCAAATCTGGCCCCAGACACTTACTAGCTGTGTGACCTTGGCCAAGTCACTTAAGCTTGATTGCCAAAAAAAAAAAAAAAAAGAATGAGGACTAAAGAAATTCTACCAAATCTACCAAGAAAAGATCTAGAAATCACTAGGTTTCTTTACCCAAGAATATCCAGAGAAGCTGAATTTGTGACTTGAACTTGTGGTTAAGGACAAGACTGTTTGGACTTGCAATCTAAAAGCTCACCAGTCTATTTGATGAAATAGACATCCAGCTCTGGACTCACATAAGTAAAGAGACATAACTTAAAACATTTTTATTGAATGGGGTGTGTCCATATTATGAATTTACAAACTGCAAAAAGTAGTCAAATAGTAGAAATGGTATGATGAATTGAACTTCATGTTCAGAACATATATTAGGAAGTGTTTACATGCTAAGAAGATCAAATTCCTCTCTCAATCTCATCCACACCCATTTTTAACAAGCCCACATAAGAGAAAAGATTCTAGCTCTTCCTCATTTACCTATTCACAATAGATAAAAGGGCAACAACAAAATGCCTCCTTAAAGCAAAAACAAATACATTTTAGGTAGTATAATTAGTCTTCAACTATGACATGCCTTTCAGTATTCTCCATTTCTATCACACAAGCAAAAATTCTCCTTAGGCAATCTAAGCATAGAGGGAGAACTGGGATCAGAAGAGCACAGGTTTATAGTTGAACAAGTTCTTATATATCCTCTTATCCAACTCCTTCACCTTACAGATGAGGAAAAGAAGGCCCAGAAAAGGATTTGCCTAGTAACTTGGGCAGGAAGTGGAAATAGCGGGGATGTGCTGAAGCCTGCTCAAACTGCTGGGAGTGCTGATTGTTAAATTTTCAGGCTAAGCATTTACACCTTGGAAATCAGCAAATGCTTCAAATCAAGGCTTGATTTATTGGGTTTTTTTCAATAGCATAGGCTTAAGAAAGTGATGAAGAAAATGTTAATAATGCAGATGAAGCTTAAAAGTATATCTCATGTGTTCATTTTTTTTTGAAGAGCTGGCTGTGAAATGTGCCAGCATATCCTTGTCCTGCCCTTTTAAAAAAGAAGAAAAATGAGAAAATAAACACTTTAAAATCAATAATTAAACACATCATATGAATATCCTTAAACCTTGTTTTCTCAGGAAAATATTTTACAATAATTTGCTTAATTAACTTCTTAAAATTCAAATTACCCGTATCAACTACTTTTAGAGTCAATTTCTTCTTCACTTGTTTTCATCTAAATTTCTTACAAAAGAAGATGCACAGTAGAAAAAACCCCAAAAACCAACTCTGTCATTCCTTGATATTTTTAGATGGTCAGCAGCAAAATTATGTTTCTTTAGGGCAATAGGAGGTAACTGCTTCTTAAAGCGGTGTGAATTTTTCATCATCTGCTGGAAAGGCTCTGTTAATACGTCCTTCCTTGGAATCTAGAGTATCACAGGGAATACCATTTTCTATTGTCACCATTGTTTCGTGTTTGTCTTCAACATCACCCGTTTCTCTCGATGCTTTGCTTTTCCTAAAAGCACATGAAAAGACTCAGATGAAATTCATATTAAGCATAACTGATCACAATGTTTTCCATGCACCTGTGAAACAGTGAAATTTTGGCACTAAGAGAGCAGATCATTAATAAAATCAAAATTAAGTGATTTGTCTAATTCTGGACCTATGGAGCTAGTTTAACTCTTTACCATAGTAATGAATAAACACTATACAAGAGAGCAGTATGAGGTTTCATCTTATTCAATTGTTTCAGTTGTATGTGACTCTTTGTGATCCCATTTTGGGGTTTTCTTGGCAAAGACACTGGAGTGATTTGTCATTTTCTTTTCTAGGTCATTCCAGATGAGGAAACCGAGACAAACAGGTGAAAGTGACTTGCCAAGAGTCACATAGTTTGTACATGTCTGATGCCAGATTTGAACTCAGGAATATGAGTCTTCCTGACTCTAGGCCCAGCACTTTATCCACTGTGGCACCTAGTAGTGGCATTGGTGGTGGTAGTAATAGTATGTTTCATACTTTAGAGGATTCTCTCCACCTTCAGTGCATCACGGATTAGCTATTTGTATGTATTTATGTTTACAAGTTAAAAATTTGTAATAATTCTGTGACAACCTTTTCTAACAACATTCAATCTAATAATGATATCTATAGAGTCCAAATATTGAACCACAGCCTATGTAATTGAAGAATTACTTTTTGATTTTAGTTCTCAAATATTCAGGAGAACATTTGAAAAAAAAAAACGTAAATGAAACCCAACAGAATCAATCCTAATTCTTATTTCCCAACCTCAGAGAAGAAAACTACTTCTGCCTTCCCAGAGATAGCACAGTAACAGTGTAGGAGATTTGAATTCTCTTCCTGGGTCTACTACAAACTAATCTTGTGACTTTGTGAAAAGTTATTTCATATTTTTGAGCCAATAGTTTTCTAACTTATAAAACGAGTGAGCTGGATTAGGTAATCTCTAGGGTATCTTCAAGTCGCGTAATCATTAAGAGTCCTTAATTTGTCAAATAAAAAGCATCACTTTAGTGGATAAAGGGGACAATTTGGTGCAGCCAGGCCGGAGTTTTACAACTGTACCATTTTCATTAGTAATTTGTATTAGCCCCTATTTACTTGGTCACAGATTGTGCTGGCATCTGCCATTTTATATACTCCACTGATAAACCAGAATCTTTTCCTTTCCTCCCCCACCAAATTCTTGTCTGAGTTAATTGTGGCTGTTGAATTAGTTTATTTTTTTTCTTTTCTTTTTTTTTTAAATTATTTTAGAAACTAAACTATAGAGACAGTATTTGAGCAACCAGGTGGAATATCACTATTCATGAAGGTGTACAATTAAACCCTCAAACGTATATAGCTAGCTAGCTGGCATTTATACAGCACTTTTTGATTTGCAAAGCATGTTACAAATATTATCTGAAGGGGCAGCTAGGTGGCACAGTAGATACAGCACCAGCCCTGAAGTCAGGAGGACCTAAGTTCAAATGTGACCTCAGACCAAGCACTTGACACTAGCTGTGTGACCCTGGCCAAGTGACTTAACCTCAATTGCCTAAAAAAAAAAGATTACCTGAGACAATCCTCACAAAACCCTGAGCAATGGGTGCTACTATTATGTCATTTTGAAAACTAAAGCACACAGAAGAAAAGTGACATGCCCAGAATCATACAGCTGAAGTGTCTGAGGCAGGATTTGGACTCAGGTCTTCCTGACTCCAGATCTCATATTCTATTGCCTGAACCACCTAGCTACTTCAGTGTGTATAATCAGGAAATTCTTAAAACCCTGAGCCAGCATCTTTTCAGATTAATCAAATTATAATTATTAATATAGATATATGTGTGAAACTTGTAAGTATTACATGATTAGTGATACAAAAAAAGAACACTGAATTAGAAACAATCGTTTATTCACTCAAATGAATTTTACTAAGAATCTCCCTTAAGAATCTCTGTAAAGATAACAGACACAACAGAGAAGGCATATATAACATTGGGTCCTTTGTCCCTCTCATCAGGGAGTTTATGCTTTACTAGAGGCAAAACAGACATTTGAGGTAGCAACATATATAAAACTCAGGCACTAACAACTATCTATGTGAATGTAGTTGTAAATAGTACAATGATTCTCTTGACCTCCTTAAAAGTCTTTCTGGAAAAGCACCATACTGAGCAGACAGTAGGCACTCAATAAATGCGGGTTAATTAAATGGTTAAATATGGTCCCAGAATTGAACATTGGAAGGAAACGTACCCTTGTCATAGGGTGAGGAAGGATACCCCAGGCAGGGCAGAAAGATTAGGCAATAAGTTGGCATATGTTATATCCACTTCCCAAGTGAGGAGGATGTATAAAATAATAATAATAATAATAACAATAATAATAATAATAATAATAATAATAATATAATAATAATAATATCAACAGTAGCTAGAATTAATGTAGTGCCTTAAGGTTTCAAAGTGCTTTACAAATATTATCTCACCAGCAGGGTATTGTGTGATCCAGGTGTGAGGTGATGACAGCTTACACCAGGGTGGTGGCAGGGTCAGAGAGAAGAAGGAGGAATAGATGAGGAATATCATAGATTGGATTTGGGAAGCAAGAATGAGGAGTCAAAGGAGGTTGTGTGGAAGAGGGATTATACAGAAGAGAAATACTGGAAGCAGGAATACAACTAGTGAACGACTATACTTGTTAATCTAATAAGTGATACTGGTCTATGTGAGTTAAGGTAGTATAGGAGATGCTGTGAAAGTGGAGTCAACAAGGATTGACTAGTGGATAGATGTGGAGAATTAGGGAACAAGAAGAGTCAGATGATGCAAAAGTGATATGGATGACTGAGGATGGTGGTGCGTTTAACAGAAATAGGAAAGTTTAAAGGAAATTATCAGATCATCATGGATTATAATTGTGATTTAAGTATCTAATAGCTGACATTTATATAATAGTGTTTTGAAACCTTAAAGCCCCTTTTATGTTGTCTCATTTGAGCCCCACAGAAACCTTTTGAGGTAAGAAGGACTTGAGTTCAAATATGGGCTCAGACACTTACTAGCTGTGTGACCCTGGGCAAGTCATTTAATCCTGTTTGCCTCAGTTTCTTCATCTATAAAATGGGCTGGAGAAGGAAATGGCAAAGCACTCCAGTATCTTTGTCAAGAAAACCCCAAGAAGGGGTCACGAAGAGTTGGGCATAACTGAAACAACTCAACAACAACAAAAATATATTTTACAAGGAAATTGACATTTGGTGAGGTTGTGCAGCTAGTAAATAATAGAGTAGATATTCAAAATAGGTTATATGATCATAGATTTAGGGTGTGAAGGAATCTTAAAGGTCATCTAGCCCAATTCTCCCATTTTACATGTAACGAAATAAGATCTGAGAGACAGGGATTTGTCCAAGGTCACATGACAAGGTCACATAACGATAGCAAAAGAATTTGTCCTTTGACTCCAGTCAGTTTTTTTTCCTACTATATCACATTCAGAATCTGGTATTCTGGCACTAAATCTAGGACTCTCATGTAAAGAGTCCTGGGTTTGGAATCAAAATGGATCCCAGCTCTGTTATTTATTATCTTTGTGACATTGGGCAAGTCACTTTACCTTTCATAGCCACAGGACTAAATGGCCAAGTGAATGATTCTCTATGTATGAAATTTGAAAAGTAGTAAGTTTCTAAGCATTACAAATGTCTTTCTTCATATTCTTCTTCCTTACCCTTGCCCCTCACAAAAAAGGGAGAGACTCTTAAGGAAATGGAATATGATGAGGTATAAAATGAAATGGTAACAATAAACTGCTCATCTTTAGATAAAAGCAATCTCATCATCAAAAAAAAAAGGATATTGAGGAAAATTACTGAAACTATTGATCCAACTGAAGCAGTGTCAGCAGTAATTATACCCACATTATTCTTTTTTTAAATTTTTTATCTTTAGATACAGTTGTTCAAAGTCTAAGAAATTGCTGTGTATCACACAATGCACCAAACTTAGGACCATTTGAAATGATAAGAAGCTCAAAGGTTATCTCATAGTAAGGCAGTCCTCTGCCATATCTCATATCATATACTATCATAAACTGACTCATTTACTGGCAACGCATTACTCTTAATAAGAATAATAAAACTCAATTATATGTCTGGAGTCATTCTGATTGTTTTCCTAAGAGTGTTTTTTTCTTTCTAAAAATAAAATGAGCATGAATTAGTTCCCCTCTTCCAGAGTGGTGTGCAAATTACTTGGGACAAGAAAGAATTTTTATATCTCTTCATTTTGTGACAGCAATAGAAATGATTACACGTGTGTGTTTCCTGTTGACAACCGGCTGACTCAAAATATTTGACTTTGACCACATGAAATCAGATTGAGCTGGTTTCTCAACTTTCAGTTAATTCTCAGTTGAGTTCTGGATTTCCGGTTATACACATGTTTCATTGTCTCTCTTTTCTTATGTTTTTAATTTTGTGATTTTTAAGAATGGGAATTTACATGATTAAAAACTTATAGGCTGCAATTAAAGCTGAGTTTGAAAAGGTAAGCTATTTGTCAATGGCATGCATGATAACCCATGTTCTAAAAGTGTGGTTTCATGTTGAAAAACTAAAGAATATATGACAAAATGCTGTGAACTAGAAACACATTGTGTCTATTACAGACCCCCTCTCTTCCTTCAAGACTCAGCTCAGGTAGCTTCTGCATGAAGCCTTTCCTGGTCCCCTCCCCACTCCCCTCCCCCACAAACTACCTTGTATTTAACTGCTTTGTATTTATTCTCTTTATTGTTGTTTTTGTTGTTCATTCTTCCTTCTCAAAGAGGACCAATGACTTCATGAGGGTGATGTTCATGTTTACACTATATATACTATTTATGCCCTTGTTGTCTTTTCTATTAACTCTTGCAAGTAGAGATTATTTGTTCTTTGTATTGTGGAAACATATTTAAAACCTCCTTTTTAGTATATCTTAAAATATTGAGAAATAATATTT